TTCTGGAGGAGATGGGAGTTTTAAAGCGGTGGGTTTTTCTTTCCAGTTTCTCAAAAGCCTGAAATCCTCCTTTATTTCAACGTGTTGCCCTCGGAAGATGGGTCAAAGCTCAGCTTTTGTTACTTAAAGGCCGTTTGCCAGCCCTCTTAAATTCCACGTAAATACCTTTAACTTTCTCTCAAGGTGACAGAGGCAATGCTGGCGGGTGCGCTCCTGGAGCAAAGGCACGCTTGCTCCATCCCGGGAGCCAGCGAGCACCCTGGGCTCCGGCTCCTGCCAGCTCCCCGCTGCTTCCCAGAGTGCCCAAGGTCAGCTGGGATAAACACGAGGGAGGAGTTTCCTCTTTTTAGAAAGAGGGATTTGACTTTTCCCTGGCAAAATGCAAGAGAAAAACCTCCCCCCAGCAGAGGCCTTGCAGCTCCGTCGCATCGTCCACGATGGGTCCAGCTGCGTGGCGCTGGGGATGGGACAGAAACCGTCGGTGCCGGTGCCCCGAGCTGGGTTTTACAGCTGGAGGGGGCTGGGACAGGCACAGTCGGATGCGCCGCCGGCTGTGCAACCTCTCCTGTCTCTTGCCGTCGGTTTAGGCACGGTCGAGAGAGCCTGGGGGCTGCCGGCTTTGCCGGTGGTGAGCATGGTGGCTGTCCTCTGCCCTGGCCAGGTCCCCAACGCTGTCAGGGGGGTGAGGGACAGCATGGGGCTGTTTGGTCAGACGTGCCTTTTGAGGATGGGGGGACACGCTGTGCCCACCAGGGGTGTCCCCCGCAAGCACCAAAGCACCGATGGCATCAGAAACTGTAATCCCTTGCCGGAAAACCTCAGAGGTGGGGAGGGAAGAGTTTTGTCCTGAGGAAAGTCGCTTTGCCCCTGTGTGGGCAGAGCTCGCTGCCTCCTGCCGATGCGTCCAAGCCCTTGGCTTTGCGGGGAGGCAGGCGGGGAGCGCTGCCTTGCGAGCCCCTCGCCCTGACCGTCACCTCCTCCTTGCCTTTGGGAGCCTGGGCCGATGAAACCACGGGCAGGGTCACGGGCAGCGCGGTGAGCGTGGGGCCACAACGCACCCTGCGATGGCACCCGCTCGTTTGCATCCTTGGTTTGTAGAGAGCTTCCTTGCTGGGATCCAGCGAGAAAACACGGCTTGAAAGATCCTTTTCTTACAGCACCTCTATTCCCCCATAGCTACCCCCATATTTATGTATTTGGTTTTTTTCCTTCTGGCCCTTTACTTGTCTTTTTTTGGCTGAATTGGTGCAAAAGCAGCTCAAGGCGGCTCTGTTCTCTCCCAGCGAGCGCGGTGGCGTTCCGGCATAATTACATGGAAGGGCTTTTCTGTCTCCTTGTTTGCAGACTGGTTTCCTGCCCAGCGAAATGGGAATCGCGAGTCCGAGCACGCTTTCCCCCACCGGGGTGAAAGGGGGGTCTCAGTATTTTTCTTACCCCAACAATCCTCGCAGGAGAGGTGCTGACAGCAACATAGGTAAGTGGCTTGGGGTCACCCTTGGGGGCCACCGCGCTGGTTTGTCCTGCAGCGGGGCTGAGCGACCCCGGGGGCTGTCGACTGGGCGGGCACCCGCGTCCGGTCTGCCATCGGGAATGAAAGCACGGATGCTGCACATAGGCTTGAATTTGGCATTTGGGGTTTTTTTTGGGGGGGGGGGACACCACTATATATATATGTGTATATATATGTAGTTTTTAAAAAGGGGGTTTGGGCTCAGTCATGTAGAATTTCCTTCTTTCTGGAAAATGTCAGATGAAGTGAAAGCAGCAAAAGGCTTGAGGTTCTTCTAAAAATGCCTCCAGCCACACCGCACACCAGTAGTCAGTCCTGGAAAACCTTGGGCCACCTTCGAGGCCGTTTTTATGGCCGATGGCTCCTCCTTGGTGCCCCTGTCCTGCTGCAAGCGCACGGGACTGCCAGGAACAAGTCAATAAGAAGCAGCGTGAGGTCTGGGTGCTGAGCTGGGGTGCGGGAGCTGAGCCCTGGGATGCAGGCGGTGTTTGCTCCGAGACCTCTCCCTGCCCAGCCGCCTGCTTTGAGATTCCAGAGCAGGAGGTGCCCACGCCTGGATCTGCCTAGGGATAAGCCATTTTGCTTTTAACGAAGGCTAAGGTCGGGTGTGAATGTAACTTTGGAGTGAAGACAAGTCCCATTTCTTGTGTTTCTGGTCATAGTTCCTCCCTGCGCCCTCCAAAGTCACTTTCTTGCTATTTTGGGCTTTCCCCAGCAAATGAAACCAGAAGCGACCCCGTTGTTACGTGTATTTTTTCCAGTGCTTTTCAGAAAAAGGCATCCGCTTTGATATTGCCGCTTTAAGAAGTTGCTGGTTTGCGTTGCCAGACTGGAAGAGGATTCTTTTGCGGCGGGTTATTCCGTGTGATGCATTTCTCCTCCTGAGCTACAGCCCGGCGGAGCCCCTGGCTTGGCAGAGTTGCTGTGTTAGCATCCTGCACCCCCCCAGCTGGGGCTTTCCTTAATTATGAACTTAAAAAAAAGAAAGAAAACCACTAAATTTTTAACGTGTGCTTCCCCTTGAACCACTTCTCGGGATGTTTCCCCCCCCACCACCACCACCTCCCTGACTCCCTTCCCCCAGGACACTGCGTCCTCCCCCTTGGAGCTGGACCTGGAGAGATGGGCTGGGGGGGGACCGGCAAGCACCGGCCCTGCCTTCCTGCAGCAGTGAAGCTTTCCCAGATATATTACTGTCTAAGGAGCAAATGAAAATACAACCCCATCCCTGCATTCGCTCTCCTTCTGCATCCTCTCTCTGCGAACCCACTTCAAGTTAAATTGTTTCCAAAAAATAAAAAAACCCCGAACCCCAACCCAAGGAGGGGTTGGTGATGGGCTCAGGCTCTCCCAAAGAGCAAGTGCAGCCCTCCTCTGCGCCGTGAGCACCCCTTGTCGCGGTGCTCCGGGAGGGAGACTGCCCCGAGAACGCTGTTTGTGGGTGAAACCAGCCCTCAAAGGGTGCAGGTGAGATGAGATGAGATGAGATGAGATGAGATGAGATGAGATGAGATGAGATGAGATGAGATGAGATGAGATGAGGAGGAGAGGTTCGTCCCCGGACATTTTCACTATTGACGTACATTTTGGGATCCGAGCCCTGTTTGTACCTGCATCTCCCATCCTTTTAGCTGGAGCTTGTTGTTTTCCCTCTCTCTATAACCCCCTTCAAAAATTAGATCTTCTCTTTTTCTCTTCTTCTCTTTAAACCAGACGGACAGCCCAAAAAGGTTCGGAAGGTGCCTCCTGGACTCCCCTCCTCGGTAAGTGGCAGCAGCGTTTTCCCCGCAGGTATCCCCTCCCCGTTCCCCCATCCCCTGGGCGCCCCCGCTCCCCCCGCCGCGAGAGCTGCCAGCCCTGCGGGTCCAGCGCCTCCAAACACCGCGGGCTCGGATTTTAGCAGGATGAGGAAGGGTTTTTCCCAGCGACAGCCGAGAAACAAGGAAGCGCTGTGAGACGGGGCACTAATCGGGGAGAAGGAGCTGCAATGCTCCGGGTGCGGAGCAGAGCCCGGCCCCTTCGCCCCCTGCCCTCGCTTGGTTCTCCTCTGTTTGACGTGATGTCGCGAGTGAAATGCAATATTCGCTGTGCTCGGATTTCACTCCAGAAAGGGAAACCAAACCAGTTGTAATGCGGGCAGGCAGCTGGGGCTGCTCCAGGTGTGCGCTCTGCCGGCGCTGCTTTACAAGAAAGCCTGGAGGAATAAGTTAGCCATGCTCCCGCGGCTGTTACGGGGGAATAAACTGAACAATGTCTTTGTGGCTAGAAGTAATGGGATCTCCAGGAAAGCTAATTGGAGCGGGCTGGAGGGTTCCTGCAGGAACATGGGAGCTGTCTGGCAGCGCGCGGCCGCATTCCTCGCTGGAGCGTTTCCTTGCTTGCAGGGGGACGGGCGGGCTGGAGCCCGGGCTGGGGCTGCGCTGGGGACGGGCCCTTGCCCCCGCGTGTCGTGCCGCCCCGTTCCCCACCTCTCTGCGTCCACCCGTGGGGGAAATGGCGTGCTGTGGGCGTTCCTTCCCTGCCAGCACCAAGCTTGGTCCGTAGCCTCCAGCGCGGGCGCTGCCTTTGGAAATGGTCCAGGAGGTGCTGAGCTTGGGAGGACGGAGGGAGAGGCAGGCACCGAGGGTTTGCAGGATTGGGCTCGCGGAGCGGAGGGTGCTGAAGGGTCCCTTTGGACCCACACCCTGCAGGAACCAGCTCCAGTCAGCAGCGCCGAGTTGCTCCAGACGTTTTGTGTTTTAACAGGGAAAACCTGCTCGAAGCAGATTCCGTATCGCTGCCTCGAGTTTCTCTGTGAAATTCGGAGCTTTTAAACCCCGGTCAACATGTGGGGAAAACATCGCTGCCGACAAATGGCCCTTTATTGGCCTCAGATTTCAAAGGTGACGGGGCTTGCTGCCCGGCGCGCTGGCGGTGCCCTAAAGGGCCCCGATTCCCACAGGAAGCGCCACTCGGCATTTGCCAAAACTCAGCCCCTTCCCTGTGTCTGAGCCGACACCTGCGCGTGGGCTTTGCCAGCCCCGAACGCGCTGGCTGCCG